TTGCATAGCAAGACCACTTAATGTTATCTCACATATATATTATTATTATTATTATTATAGCAAAATTTGCCACCCTAACTCCTCCCACAGTTTTTACACTGCATAGACAAAAATTTACCAAAACGTGCAGATTGTTCCCGATCGGATTGCTATTACTTTGTGGAACGTTTCGCCGAATGGTTCACGGAATATCGCCGTTTTTCTTGTATTTAAATGTAGGTCTGGGTCTTGTGATTCTCACAATATAAAGCTCTTCGCTGTAGGATTTATAGTTTTTAAAATATGACCGCTTGAAGATGGCAACCACCAAAATACTCTGACCTGTCAAGGCTGCAGCAGCAAGTGATGTCATAGACAGGGCCTTTTGAACACCTGCTAATGTTTTATAAATGTATGGTTTAATGTAACTGTGCAACAACGTTGCAATTAAATGTGTTATATAAATCATAACAGTTACGTCGCCCACTCCAGTTGTAGACTACTGGTGGAGGCAAGAACACTTCACACAATTTCCCCAGAAATTGTAGCTTTTCTAGTTATTATTATAGCAAAATTTGCCACCCTAACTCCTCCCACAGTTTTTACACTACATAGACAAAATTTAACCAAAACGTGCAGATTGTTCCCGATCGGATTGCTATTACTTTGTGGAACGTTTCGCCGAATGGTTCACGGAATATCGTCGTTCTTGTGGCTAAATTTGTCCCATAGGAATGAATGGCAAACCTAGAGTGGGAGCTGGCAAAATGAAAAATCAGGACATGAATTCTAAACTGCCACCACTCCCTTATTTTCAGGCCCACCTACACAAATCTTATATCAAAACGTTCAGCTATCCCTGCTGCCAGTAAACATGTCAACGGCTAAGCCATAGTCCTGATAGTTTTCACAATATAATCATTTGTTTGTAACTAACGCCGTCCATTGACATTCATTGAAACTTCACTCTGCAAAGCTCAAATTTGAAGTGCAATTTCTAAACTGCGACTGTGCCTTCAATTTCAATACTTCAGAGACATACTATGCATCAAAATGTAGGTCTGGGTCTTGTGATTCTCACAATATAAAGCTCTTCGCTGTAGGAGTTATAGTTTTTAAGATACGACCGTTTGAAGATGGCAACCGCCAAAATACTCTGACCTGTGTCAAGCTGCAGCAGCAAGTGATGTCATAGACAGGGCCTTTTGAACACCTGCTAATGTTTTTATAAATGTATGGTTTAATGTAACTGTGCAACAACGTTGCAATTAAATGTAGTATATAAATGATAACAGTTACTCCGCCCACTCCAGTTGTAGACTACTAGTGGAGGCAAGAACACTTCACACAAGTTCCCCAGAAATTGTAGCTTTTCTAGTTAATCAATATAATTCTACGTGTATTTTGATATATATATATATATATATACACACACACATACACTAATATTAAAATAAAACACTATGTGTATGTGTATATATATTTATATATATATATACACACACACACACACACACACACTTAGATCATATGCATAATAAATATATATGATCTAAGTATATATAATTTAATTTTAAACGGTTTTAAATTTTTAGTTTTAGTTTTTCAGGCAGCATTGGGAGTACCTGTCGTTCCAGGCACTCCCCCTGCTGGCATTGCTGTGGACGGCTATGCCGTCCATGTGATCGTGAGGTCCTCGCAAAGACCTCGCTATCACATGGCCCATGGAATGGAAACAGGGGGGACTCCCTGGGATGCCAGGTGAGTCCCCCCAACACGATTGCCAGTGTGGGATCGCCAGCGACCAGGTAAGTACATAGGACGGCTTGGGCGTTCTATGCCGCCCGCCGGCGTTTAGAGCCGGGTCCCCAAGGACGGCATAGAACACCCGCTGTCCTTAAGGGGTTAAAGAGGTGCTTGTATATAGGTTTTTGAGTTTTAATACAAGGGTGTGTTACTAAATGTTATAATAAATAAAGGAAAAGAGACAGCGCCAGACAACCTGTAAGGCAGCAACCCAACAAGGGAATCCCCCCAAAACCCTAAAATACAGGATAAAAGCAAAATATAAAAGGAGGGCTGCGCCAGAATAAACAGTGTCCAGTATCAATAGTTATTGAAGATAAAAAGTCCGACCTAAAAAGGTATCCTCTCTGTCGTCTTTAGGTACAGGAACGCGATCTTCAGGTAATATATAAAAGATAAAAGGAGAGAACAAACGATGGTGCAGAATGTACGGTTCAAATGAAGTAAAAATTGATTAATGATAACGAACTCACAATTTCCAGAGCTTCTGTCCAGCTCTAGGGTAAAGCGCACACAGCGGTATAATCCCCGCTTATGGGATTTATGATGGGTTCGTCAGGGTATCCAAAACTCAAAGGAAACAGAAACAGCCAAATAGTGCTCTCTGTATAACTGTATATTATAAAAGAGAATAAAAAAACGTACTTACAAGTACAGAGCAGACCAACTGCTCTTTGATGTCAGCGCTGGTGGAATAATCCCCACCTATGGATTTCTTTGGTTGTCAGGAACTTGTAGAGATAGTATTAAAATCGGAATAGAGTGTATATAAAATATAACAATGAACTAAAACGATAAATAGCCAGGGTACATGTATAAATAAAAGTAGTTGGGACTATCAGTTAACCAAAAACTTTAATATTTATTATACAAAATTAAATTTCCATAACGCGTTTCGTCTAACAGACTTTATCAAATGGAATATATTATATTATACGTTTTTGGTTAACTGATAGTCCCAACTACTTTTATTTATACATGTACCCTGGCTATTTATCGTTTTAGTTCATTGTTATATTTTATATACACTCTATTCCGATTTTAATACTATCTCTACAAGTTCCTGACAACCAAAGAAATCCATAGGTGGGGATTATTCCACCAGCGCTGACATCAAAGAGCAGTTGGTCTGCTCTGTACTTGAAAGTACGTTTTTTTTATTCTCTTTTATAATATACAGTTATACAGAGAGCACTATTTGGCTGTTTCTGTTTCCTTTGAGTTTTGGATACCTTGACGAACCCATCATCATAAATCCCATAAGCGGGGATTATACCGCTGTGTGCGCTTTACCCTAGAGCTGGACAGAAGCTCTGGAAATTGTGAGTTCGTTATCATTAATCAATTTTTACTTCATTTGAACCGTACATTCTGCACCATCGTTTGTTCTCTCCTTTTATCTTTTATATATTACCTGAAGATCGCGTTCCTGTACCTAAAGACGACAGAGAGGATACCTTTTTAGGTCGGACTTTTTATCTTCAATAACTATTGATACTGGACACTGTTTATTCTGGCGCAGCCCTCCTTTTATATTTTGTTTTTACTAAATGTTATGTTTGTGTTAGATTGCATGAGTGTGTTTGTATGTTGTGCTGGTGTATGACTGCTTGGAAGTATGCACACACAGATATACATACACACAAATTCATAAAGACACCGACATGTACACACACACAGATGCATATCCTGACACACACACTCATACATACATAAACACACACACACAAAAGTTACATTTTTTTACATCTCCAGCCACCCTCCTGTTATCTTACCTTGCTGCTGCTGCTGGGAGTGAGGGATCTGGAGCTCTTCATGCTCCTCTCCGCTCATGATGCGGCTGCCTCCTTTCCCACCCACGCTGTCTCCCTGTATGACACTGGGCCCCTTTTCAGCAGGAATGTTTCCCCGGTGCTAAAATCATAGCACCGGGGAAATATTCCATGGCTCACAGTTTGGGAACCTCTGGGTTAATGTATAGTATACAGCTTAATGTAGTGGTTCTGGTATCTATATTCTGTCCCTGCAGGTTTTTTTTATGTAAATACTGTCTTTTCAGAGAAAAAACAAAAAGCAGAGCATATTAATACCTCTAGGGGCACTAGAGGGGCTTCCTGGGTCAGTGCTGCACAGTACTGACATTCAGTGACACCACGCTCTGCATGAAGACGCTGAACACTCCCAATAAAGATGCATTGATTCAATGAATCTCTATGAGGAGATGCTGATTGGTGCAGCACAGCATTTTGCCACACAATACCCTTCCGGATTGGCTGAGATCATTAAGTCTGATGATCTTATCCATGGAGAAAATGTAAGTAAGCTACATTTTAACTCCTTACTGAGGCTGCGGGTCCATCACTATAGTGTTCCTTTAAGCAAGGTTCTTTTTCTGAGGCTTTTCTACCCACAATCAGCACAACTGTAGCGGAACGCCAATATTAAATCCACGAATTCCGCTGGTTTAGGAAGTAATCCACAGTTAAGCGCTGGAAAAAGCAAAGCAATATCCCAAACCTCCCAGTAACCGGACGAAACACAGTTCTGAGAGTCAACTGATGTCTTTATTTTCAGCTCCACAATTTATACAAGTCCCCATGCAAGGGGTTTCCTGAGTCCCCTCCCAGGGGCATTCCCAGAGGGGACTACATGGGGGACTTACTGTACAGGGCATTTCTCCCATCAGGCACTGCTGCACGAGAGGGATCCTCCCACTGGAATATACCGTTAAGTGGATTATCCCTCCGTGCAGCAGAACCGACAATTTACATTAAAATCTATAACTTTTCGAATATGCAGTTCATTTAAACGAATGGACGTTCGGTAGATAGCTGGGGTCTGAGCGCATCATTCAAGAGAGTACCGCTCAGATCCCAGCTAAAACAACCGAACGCCGCACGCAAAACACATTCATTAAAATACAGGTTCAAAATACCGATTGCCTTCCAGGGAACAAAATACCGAACGGCCCGGGACTCCCGAACGGCCTGGAAGCTCAGCGGTGTTCGGGCCATCGAGTAGCCGTTTTTAGTACCATGCGCTCGACGACCAAACACCGCTGAGTGAACAAAGGATCCAAGATGGCCGACCGCCACATGGGCGGTAGTCGAACGGCGGCCACCTAGGAGAGCCTCTAATTACAGATTGCAACATTGTTGCAATCGGTTAACAAGTGCCACACGCCTCTAAGTGTGTGGGCTACTACATGGGGGTATTTTCGGTTCACGAACGGCCCGCAAAAGTGCCGTTCATGAAACGAAAGAAAATACAATACATACAGCTATCTGCATTCGGCAGATAGCCAATACAGCACATACACGTTAATTACAACCAGTATACATTCTACATAGTTAAGCACATATCCCACAACCATACAGGCAACCCTTAAAGGCACAGTCTCTTTATAATGTCCAAGTGGCTATGTTTGCCACAACAACTATTCCCACAGAATGACAAACAGCAGATATTGTTAGAGGAAAACAAAATGACTGCGTGCAGATATTGATATCTGGTGCAAGGAAGAAAAGAAAATACATACACAGGTAGTGGGGAAGAGTATGATAGGGGTTCAAAATGTCCACTAGCCCATCGGCCAGTTAAAATTTAGCCCATGCACGTAGAAATTTACCTATGGTGAGTATGGCTTGCAGTGGAGAGTAACATTTAAAGAGAAATTGTCATAGCTTACCTGACACTCCCCTCAGTGGTGTATTTTGGATTTGTGCTGCTCTAGGCACCCCCAAAATATAAATTCGCACCCCCCCCCCATTCGTGTCAAGGCCATTTTTTTGACTGACAGACACATGCCCTCATTGATACATGCACTGATACACAGTCACTGACAGATAAACAGTCATTGGCACTCACTGTTTAACCAACACACACTTTCACTGACAGACACACACTCTCAGACACACATAAAATGACACACACACACACACACTGACACACACTCACAGGCACACCCATTCTCACTCACAGACACACACTGACAGCTACACTCACTCACTCACAGTAAGGTGGACAGCCCCAGAACAAACAAGGCATTTGTCTGGGAGCTTGGGGTGGCATTTTTGGTGCCCCCCCTGAAAGTGCCGCCCTAGGCAAATGGCTTGTTTGCCTTGTGGTAAATACATCCCTGGCTCCCCCACTACGATCACATTAGCGAGGTTCATCCCCACTGCTCTGTGGCTCTCCAGTCTGCCCACTTTCCTCCTCTGATGATCACAGATTTGCCCTGCTTCAGGACACTTGCCCAAGCAGGGCAAACCTCCACCATGATGCCGACATGCTGGCTTTGTTGCCGGTGTCTGAACAGAGAGCAGAGGGATGTCCTGTGGAAGGTCTCATGGGCTCTCAATTCCTTGGCATTGATCATTTGCCATGGAATGGAATCACATGGGAGAAAAACCTATTTTTCAATAGGTATTTCTTCCAATATACACATTTGCTAGCTAAACTGCTGGCACAATGTACAGATGAAATTTGATGCTCTTTAACAGCAGCAAAAGTACTGTTGGGCATGACAGATTTCCTTCAAGGCATGGCTAGTAACAAAGAACTACACATTTTAAGCCCCGGTATCGTCATAAGATACAATGGGCATAACGAATAATAACCAATTTAAGAAACGTTTATTCCAATTCTCTCAGCTATCAAGTCTTTATTTAATGAATTAGCTTACAGATACTATGTTATACTGCTATACCAACTACACTGTATGCTCCGCCAGTAAACCACGTATCCCTGAGCTGTTGCCATTAGCCCCCCTTGACATTTTCCAGAATGCAGTCACCTTGCGTGGAGTCTTGATGTATAGATGATAAAACCATTTCAGCACGCTGATCCTGCTCATCATGCCAGTGGTAGATTCATGGAGATGCCGATCTAGTACGTGAACAATACCATCCAAATTCAGGCTGACCATCCCTGTCTGGGCACTGCAAGACAAGAAACAGAAGGACACACACACTGAGTAAAAGAGGAGAGGCCACGGATACACCATCTATACGCAGGACACACACTGAGTAAAAAAAGAGGAGAGGCCACGTATACACCATCTATACGCAGGACACACACTGAGTAAAAAAGAGGAGAGGCCACAGATACACCATCTATATGCAGGACACACACTGAGTAAAAGAGGAGAGGCCACGTATACACCATCTATACGCAGGACACACACTGAGTAAAAAAGAGGAGAGGCCACAGATACACCATCTATATGCAGGACACACACTGAGTAAAAGAGGAGAGGCCACGTATACACCATCTATACGCAGGACACACACTGAGTAAAAAAGAGGAGAGGCCACGGATACACCATCTACACACAGGACACACACTGAGTAAAAAAGAGGAGAGGCCACGGATACACCACCTATATGGCTGCGAGTTAAGTAGAAAAAGCCATGGGTACATGATGGAAGATTTATTAAAAGGTAAGTAATATTACAGAGATTACAACTATCTCAGTGATATACAGGGAGCACGGTTAGAATAACCCATAGTTACATTAATCACATTGAATTGGGAACTTGTTAGTGAAAGAGGACTCATGGTTGGAATGCAGAGCGTGTGCTGCGTTGAGCAATGTGAGAGTTAAAGGATTGTATAATGAGATCATTACAGAGAGCAATATTTGGCCGTTTAAATAAAGACATATTTGAAGTTCAGTCTAACTCAGTAATGGAAATAATAAACGGAACACACATTCTACAGCTTGTAATTAAACATCCACGTTACCCTGCCACGCTGGACAGTGTGTGGTGGGTCATAGCCAGCACACACCGGTCTTCATAAGAGGATGTGCTGGTCTGCAAGGAGTTCAATATTTTGTGGGTTGTGGTACATCACAGAAATGTGATGTTTATAAAGAAAGCAAATTGTCTGGAGACTGGTATAAACAGAAAGCTCATCCAGACAGCTTTCAGACACCATGACACATACAGCCAGACCCACACTGCCACCTGCTGGCCAGAAAAGAGCATTACTGTCTGCACACTGCCACCTGCTGGCCAGAAAAGAGCATTACTGTCTGCACACTGCCGGCCAGGAAAGCGCATTACTATCTGCACACTGCCACCTGCTGGCCAGGAAAGCGCATTACTATCTGCACACTGCCACCTGCTGGCAAGACAGGACATTACTGTCTGCACACTGCCACCTGCTGGCCAGAAAAGAGTATTACTGTCTGCACACTGCCACCTGCTGGCCAGAAAAGAGTATTACTGTCTGCACACTGCCACCTGCTGGCCAGAAAAGAGCATTACTGTCTGCACACTGCCACCTGCTGGCCAGGAAAGCGCATTACTGTCTGCACACTGCCACCTGCTGGCCAGAAAAGAGCATTACTATCTGCACACTGCCACCTGCTGGCCAGGAAAGAGCATTACTGTCTGCACACTGCCACCTGCTGGCCAGGAAAGAGCATTACTATCTGCACACTGCCACCTGCTGGCCAGGAAAGCGCATTACTATTGCACACTGCCACCTGCTGGCCAGGAAAGAGCATTACTGTCTGCACACTGCCACCTGCTGGCCAGGAAAGAGCATTACTATCTGCACACTGCCACCTGCTGGCCAGGAAAGCGCATTACTATCTGCACACTGCCACCTGCTGGCCAGGAAAGAGCATTACTATCTGCACACTGCCACCTGCTGGCCAGAAAGAGCATTACTATCTGCACACTGCCACCTGCTGGCCAGGAAAGCGCATTACTATCTGCACACTGCCACCTGCTGGCCAGGAAAGCACACTGCACCTGCTGGCCACTTACTATCTGCACACTGCCACCTGCTGGCCAGGAAAGCGCATTACTATCTGCACACTGCCACCTGCTGGCCAGGAAAGCGCATTACTATCTGCACACTGCCACCTGCTGGCCAGGAAAGAGCATTACTGTCTGCACACTGCCACCTGCAGTTCAGTTCCAGAGATTTGACAGCACACACCGCTGACCGCGTTTGACTGAATTAAAATGGCCACTTCGACTACTTCGGCACTTCAACTGTATCCGAAGTGTCATATTAAAAGTACCAATCCTTTCCCAAAGCATTTAAAGGGCCAGAAATAGTCTTTTAAAAGGCCATGAGCCCAAAATAATGCTTTAAAAAGGGCCATACACCCCAGGGCCATAGTCGCAGGGCAGGAGGCTGGCAAGCGAGCCTCTCCAAGTGGCAAAGGGAACTTCGTCACAACCCTCATGACATTTTCCCTTTCACACAATGAAACAAATAATTTATCTAGTGGTTTATTGCATGGCGCCTGAGACTGAGCCTCAATGATAGCGCCAAGCAGAGGGAATGACAAGGAAAGGACAGTGGAAGCGATGATACACTCAGGGTGAATAATAGGGGATGTCTCTTGTTCCTGTACTGATTCCTTATCAAACTGTATAGATAAGGCGTCCGCCTTCACATTTTTGGGACCAGGTCTGTAAGTTATGAGAAAGTTAAAGCGAGATAGGCACAAAGACCATCTAGCCCAGTGGTAGTCAACCTTTTTCTACCTACCGCCCACTAATGCATCTTTTTGGTTGAAAAAATTTCCTTAACGCCCACGAGTTTTCACGCAAGTGCGGAATATTTTTTCGAAAGGAGGGTGTTTAAAAAAAAAAAAATCAATAAAAATTTAGGTACATTTATCTTTTTATTTCTACTTAATGCATGTTTAGAATGTTTTTAACTTTATAAAGTTTAAAGGACCACTCTAGGCACCCAGACCACTTCAGCTTAATTAAGTGGTCTGGGTGCCAGGTCCCTCTAGGATTAACCCTTTTTTGTTTATAAATGGGTTAATCCAGCCTCTAAAGCCTCTAGTGGCTGTCTCATTGACAGCCGCTAGAGGCGTTTGCGTGATTCTCACTGTGAAAAATCACAGTGAGAAGACGCCAGCGTCCATAGGAAAGCATTATGAATGCTTTCCTATGAGACTGGCTGAATGCGCGCGCAGCTCCTGCTGCACATGCGCATTCAGCCGAAGAGGAGGAGAGGAGGAGAAGAGCTCCCCGCCCAGCGCTGGAAAAAAAAAAGGTAAGATTTAACACTTTTCTTGCCATCCAGCCCGGCGGGAGGGGGTCCCTGAGGGTGGGGGCACCCTCAGGGCACTATAGTGCCAGAAAAAAAAAAAAAAAGAGTATGTTTTCCTGGCACTATAGTGGTCCTTTAATGAGAAAACAATAAAGTAAATTGAAATTACCTTTACTAGTGATTAATGAGATCCTTGAGGTTGATGCTGCGAGACTAAATATTTGATATCT